AGGGGAGGGGGGAGGAATAGGTAATTTTTTTGTACACGTTCTACGTTTTTTAAAAATTTTTTCTCAGAAATTTCCTGTAACTTAACATGAGAGAGATAAAAGGCCATCTCTAAGATTATTACCAAGTCAAATAAAATTAAATGACCCCACTGTATTAGCAGCAAAGACAGATCTGGAACTAAGATCTTAAAGTCACTCCTAAGCATTCCTGAGATGCTCGAAGAATGTCCCAATAATGTACCAATAAACTTAATTTTCACAAAAAGGTGCCAGAAGACAGTAAGTTTTAGCCAATCCAGACCCAGGAGCAGGCCAGGACTGTGGGACCACTCTGCTCCACTCCTCTGAACTTGGGCAGGGCCCAGGGCCAAGCCCCTGATGTCCGTCACGCTGTCCCTCGCACTCTGCAAGACCCCTGGGAGACTCCTGAGGCCTGGCACACATTTCAAATCCTTAAACCCAATCCATTCGGCAACATTCCTTCCCACAGGCGAGAGCCTGCGGGCTTTGAGTGTCACCTCCCCTCTCTAAACTTTGTTCAACTGAGCTGCTTTTTCCCTGCCTTCTGTGCCTTGCCCAATCCTTTGTTCCTCGTGCACTCGAACCCGGAAACCTGTCCCAGACCCCTTGACCCACGATAGCGTTAGCTAGTGGCCCTTGAAATCTGAGAAAACAAATATGAAAATAAGAACTCTATGTCAACCAGGCATGGTGGCGCACTCCTGTAATCCCAGCACTCGGGAGGCTGAGGCAGGAGGATCGCTATGAATTCAAGACCAGCCTGGGCTACATAGTGAGTTCCAGGTCAGTCTCTACTACATAGTGAGACTCTGTCTCAAAAAAACAAAACAAAACAAAGAACTCTATGTCAATGAGACTCTTATTTAATCTTTTTTTCAATGATGGGAAAACACCAGAAAATGTCTTAGCCTAATACATACAGTGAATCCCCACTTAGGAACATTTGCATTATGGAATCTCAGATAGGATGGGCCTTGCACTACGAATGTTTGTAAATGGGAAGAAATTGTGGAAGCGGCTTGTGTGTCTGCTGGGCAGTGTGATGGTGCGCACACCTGTAACCCAGCACTTGGGAGGCTGAGGCAGGATCGCCCGCCCTGCATTTGAGGCCAGCTTGGGCTAATAACAAGTTCAAGGCCAGATGGAATGGCATAGTGAGACTGTTTAAAATAACAGCAAGCGGGGTGGAGGGAAAGAGGGACAGCAGTATGGTACAGTTGGGGACTTACTGTATTTCTGTGTTACTCTTTGGATTTTTTATGCATTCGACTGTATATTGGTGTTAAACGTGTGCAAGACTATGTTGAATTTAAGAACAAATTTGACTTATGAACATCGTCCCCAAGTGGAACTCGGTGGTTAGTTAAGGACACCCTATACATAGGTTTCCCAGACTATGCAAAGAGGGCCCGCGTTTTTTTTTAGGATTATATGGAAGCTCTTTGTACTATCTCTGTAACTTTTCTGAAAGTCTAACCCCGCCTCACATACACCTTGGTGCTGGAACTGAACCTATGGTCTGTGGACGAGCTACACTCCCATCCCTTTTTAAAATTTTGAAACAGGGTCTTGGTAAACAGCTAAATTGCTTCTTCAGCCAACCAGAGTGGTGGGATTATGGGCACATGCCCTTACATCCAGTTGCATACGTCTATTCTTTTAAAAATTATTTTTAAATTCTAAAATGTATTATTATTTTTTTCAATTCCACCTAAGCAACGGAGGAACCAAGAGTATACTGCGTTTAATTAGTTTCTCAACAATGTTACCTGAATGACCAGGTCTTTTTTTTTTTAAGGCGGGATTTCACTATGTAGCTCAAACTGGCCTTGAACTCACAGTGATCCTCCTAACTCAGCCTCCCAACGCTAGATCTTTCTAAAAATGTTTATTAGTACATGTTTTCAGTTTATGCAGTTTACAATCATCTTGGGAGTAGTTACACGTACACCCCATAGCTTGTTTCTTTTTTTTTTTAATCTCTTTCCTTTCCGCCCTCCCTCCTCTAATTTTCCTGTTGTGTTTCATTCTTGGGATATTATTAATATTAGCTCATGTTATGGTATAGAATGTTTATATTAATTGAGGTTATTAAGTTCCTGTACATGGCATATTTTTATTCTACTTATTTCCCCTTCCCCTCCTCCTAACGCATCATGCTTTTTGTCTTGGACAACTTCTCTATTGTGCGAGATCTATCTCTTTCTCCCCTTCTATCCATCCTTTATTATTCTCTTTGTACTTTGCCTCACTCAAATGAGAGATACCATGTGGGTCTGGTTAAGCTTGTGGGTCTGGTTTATTTCACTCAACATTGTATGCTTTTGGCCCATTTGTTAAAGACCAAATAGCTGAATGTGACTGGGAAGATTCTGTGTCCTCGGTTCTGTTCCATTGGTCCCTGTACTGTATCTGCTTTGGTTCCAGCACCACACCATTTTTATCACTATTACTTTGTAGTACAACTTGAAGTCAAGTGTTGCTATGCCTCCTGCTTTGCTCTTGTTGCCCAAAATTGCTTTTGTTACTCTGGGTCTTTTCTGGTTCCATATGAATCTTAGGATTTTTTTTTTCTAGATCTGTAAAGTACATTGTTTGTATGTGTATTGGGACTGTACTGAATGTGTACAGCAGGTTTGGGAGTTTGGCCATTTTGACATATTGTTTTTGCCTATCCAATAGCAGAGAACATCATTCCATTTTCTAATGTCCTCTTCAATCTTCTTTTGCAGACCACTGTAGTTTTCTTTGTAGATCTTTCACTCACTTGGTTAGGTTAATTCCTAGGTACTTAGTTTTCTTTTTTTTTAATTTCATTTTTCTTGAAGCTACTGTGAATGGTATTATTTTCCTTCTTACCCTGTTCATTGTTGGTATAACACAAATGCTAATGATTTTTATGTGTTGATCTTATATCTTGCTACATTGTTGAAGTTTGTTATTAATTCTTAGTTTTCTGGTGGAGTTTTTTGGATCTTCTATGTAAAGTATAATGTCATCTGCAAATAATAATTGAGTTTTTCCTTTCTTATATCTATTCCTTTTATCTTTCTCTTGCCTAGTTGCTCTAGCTAATATTTCAAGTACTATGCTGCATGGAAGAGGTAAAAGTGATATAGGAGATATATAACTCCCAGCCTGCTAGATGTCAGATGTGCCAAATTTGTGTCCCACAAAAATCAAAGAATGAATTTCACGGAACAATGGAGGTTAAGAGTAGGAAGAACTTATTAAGAAATAGCTCTTGAGAGACATGAAGGGGGTCCCAAAAATGGGTTGCCACCAAGGCCCTTTGTCAGAAATAATTTATACAGCAAAGATACAATGTGGTACAACAAACTATAATCAAGCTATAGGACTACATGTATAGCTGCTTAGCTAATATGGATCTGGTAGGGAAGTGAGTCACATAGCAAGGGTACATAGAAAGAACAAAGACAGTTTTGGGAAGGGACCAGTCCAGATTCTCTTGTCATCCACCTGGGCGACTGATGCCTATTTGCACTTTTTGGATCAGTGGTGTTATTTATAGTATGATTTCAAGTTACTTTTTACCCCTTAGGGAGCCACGTAGGCTGGCCATTCCATCTTTATCTTGAGACCTGGTCATCTTCAGATGTGCCTCCAGCCACAATTCTTGTAGCTCTTAATTTTTCTGCTGACTTCCTTGAAAGCCTAGTTGCTCTCTGACTGTACATTAATTTCTATCTGAATTAGCTGCTTATAGTAATAGTGAACATCTTGTCTTATTCCTGATTTTAGGGAGAATGTTTTTACTTTTCCCCATTTAGTACGATGCTGGCTAATGGTTCATCCTACTTAAACTTTCACTATATTCAGGTATGTTCCTTCTATACCTGTTTTCCACTAGCCTAGCACTAGCAGGTTAACAGTCATCACTTGGGGCAGACATAAAAAAAAAAAAAAAAAAAAAAAAAAAAAAAAAAAAAAAAAA